ATCAATGAAAAAGAATATACCTGATCTAAGGGAACTTAAATTTAGAAGAACATTCAGAGAATTATACAAAGATTTGAGGCTTTAGGTTCGATTGAAGACAAAAAGCATGCTAACCCTGGACGTCCTAGAACTGTTAGAATTGCTGAAACCATTGGGCAAGTGCAATCAGTGATAAATGAAACACTACAAAGGTCTGTAAGACAAGTATTGGGCGACATTACTAGCTCTGCCAGTCATTCTAGTGTATTTAGAATGCTTCGGTATGATTTGAAACTCACTCCTTATACAATATCCATCATGCAGCATTTGAAACCAACCGACAGATTGACCTTTGAAAGATGAATGATCGACAACAGTGGTATTGCTGACAAGATATGGTTCTCAGATGAGGAACATTTCTATCTTAATTCGCAGGTGAACAAGAAAAACTGCAGGTACTTGGGCACTGAAAAGCCAGACTTTTATTTAGGAAAAAAACTCTGCATTCAGAAAAGGTTACGGTGTAGGCTGCGTTAAGTGCAAATGGAATTATTGGTCCATTTTTCTACGAGGACATGGAAGGTAGCGTAGAAATAGTAAATAAAGATCGCTACTTGAATATAATGAATAGAAAGTTTATGCCAGCATTGAGAAAGAAAGTTGTAAATGTAGGCGATATATGGTTTTAGCAGGATGGAACTGCCCAACATACAGCCACAGGTGTGCTAGCATGGTTGGAAGAGACGTTCGGCCAAACATATGAAAAACAAGATCAACAAGGAAAGGCGGCGTTCAATGAACGCCACCCCTATATGACCCAGCAACAAGAACCAGTGACAAGGAGCCCAGGCGGACCCCAAACAAAACAGGACAGGGCAAAGACAGAGCACGGACAGATTAGTCACTAAATGATAAATAATTTGTTACTGATTAGGAATTCAAAGAAAACAAATAAATGGTTGAATAAAAGGCCCACAAAGGGGAAGGGGACAGGAGACCGGGGTAAGGAGGGTTTAATCAAAGAAATAAAAACCAGAGGTAATTGGGAAGATACTTACCGTAGACGGGAAAACAACAAGGGACACAAATAAAAGTGTCACCAAAACAGTATGAAACAACATAAACATACATCTGAGGAACACAGAGGGGCGCCGCCTTGGAACGGTCAGCAGCATAATAATGATTGCTGGGGAGTTTAAACCGGTTAATGGTGCACCAAACCTCGCTCTTAGCCCCACCATGTTCCTATAAACGAGACAGTGTAAATAAAATGAATCCCCGCCAAGTGAAATTCTAACAGTTGTCATGGTTACAAAAGGTTAAATAAGTAAAACACTAAAATGATCATGTAGAAACATATAAAAGTAAACCCAATGACCATTACAAAAGTACTCAATGTCCTAAAGGAAGACAGAGCAACAAGAAAATCACCTACAAGGGCCCGATGAAGCAAGGCAGAAGACGAACATTAAGACAATTCAGTCCCAAAGGGCTTTACGAACTATCCGTCATAGAGTCTCCCACTTGGTCCGTCAGATGTAATCAAAAGAGGAAAGCGTAGTGTCCAACTGTAAAAAGGTTGAACACTTAACATGCAGTATGTCTTAAAATAGTAGGGTCGTAACCTCTTTTAATAAAACGTTTAATGATTTTAGTAAAAACAGCAGAAAAATTACCATGACCCAAAATCTTACGAAGTTTGTAAATCACATCGCCATAAAAACCAGGCTGGCTAATCCCTTGTCGCAGAAGAGTTTTTAAATCACTTTTGAATTTAGAAATTAAATCAAAGTTTATAATTATAAAATTTAGTTAAATATTTCCGTAATTTATGTAATTTATGTAAAAATATTAGTAGTGAGACTTGTGCCTCAGGTATTCGTAATTTTCAACACAGATTCGACGTCGTTATTGAACAAAAAGTACGTCATTTAGAGCATATCCTGTAAAAGTTCAAAGCATGACTACTTACAACAGAGGTAAGAAATCCTAATTAAGAATACATTATATAAAACTTTGTTCCATGTGTAAAACATTCATAAAAACTGAATATGTATCTAAATGAATTATATAAATGTTATAAGCATTTGAAACGGGGACACATATTATGAAACACCCTGTAAATGGAGACTTATTCTCCGTTTGACAAAATAATAATCATGCTTTAGTTATAAAACAGCAAACATAAAATAAAAAAATTGGTTTTTATTATCATATTGCTTTCTTCACACATGTAATTGACAAGCTAAAGTAAAAATCACAAGACGGACATTTAAATATAATTACTTGTATTGGGAGCTAGTGTAAAGAAATTGAATAGGAATTGGCGACCAATGCTTCGTTTGACAACATAATACTTATATGCGAAGTGAAACTGAAAAGGAGAAGAGATAAAAAAAAATTATAGTGATGGACTCATAGTAACTTTGTCTAAGTAATCGTTGATTTTCTGTTAAAAGAAAAACAAAAAATACATCCATAGTAGACAACATTTTTATTTACATATCAAAATGGTAAAAATAGTTTTAAAAATATATTTTTCATTTTTATTCCATGTTTTGAATACCCTCAATGACAAGATATAATAAAAGTAGCGCCAATGAAGTCAATGAGGAAACCGGTATTAAATGTCAATGTCACAGTTTTAATATTCTTTCTTAGTAATTTGTAAAATACTTATTGATAGAACCTATTTTTGAAGACAACAAAACGAAAGTTTCATTTTCAAAATATGTTTCCTTTCCAGCAATAAGTCTGTTGGGATTAACATTTGAGACAAGAAAGTTTCTGTATTTACATTAAAACAAACAAATACCGGTATTATAATTAGAAATATAAAAGTTTTCAAAATAAATCTTCCTGGGGCATATCAGATTGTAAGAAACACGATTCAAACAAACAACAACAATGATAACTACCAATGGAAAAAAAAAGAAAGAAAAAAAAAACAGAAAAAAAGAAGGACAACTCATGCAAGCACGCAACATTTTGGAAATTTGAGTTATTTGATAGTTTAAAAATGATAATAAAAATTGCAACATCCTTCATCCAAGCTAGGTCAACGTCATGTAGTACTGCGCGAATTCACTTATAATCGTGGGTATGAAATTCCGTGGTATGAAAACATGCATTTTCGTGGGTTCTTAAATTCGTGACTTTTCGTTTTTCCTGTAAAAAAAAATCAGTAACCTAATGCAAAGTAATCTTAAACTAAATCGCCGAACATTTTCACATGTACATATCTTTACGCGACACACAGCGCTTGACAATAAATTTAATCCTTGCCTCTGGGCAAAGTTCGTTACTGCCGATAATTGATTGCAATTAACACATTTATGTGACATGATATGCACCTCCATTGGACACACTGCCCCTGTAATTCGCCGATGTAAACCTCGCATAATTTATACGACACCTCACACGTTTTAACTAGCCATATAAAAAAAGTTTACACCCTGAAGTGGTCTTACCATATTTGATAGTAACTACACGCAACGTCACAGCGACTTTGTAAATTTACATGCATATAAATTAATGTTAGTAAATAAAGCGAGTATGCCGGTGGCGTCTTTGATCTTTATGGACTAGCATTCGCACAAATACAGATTAAAATTCATTTTTAACTGGATCATTTAAAAACGACAAAAGAATGTACAATTAATCTGTTTTATCGATCGTATTCTGTTTAGTTTTGTGTACTTACGATATTAATATCAAAGACTTTTTTAAAAATAAATAAGAGCAAACTGACAATTTTTATAAGCGCTAATTATTGCATTACCTGATTACCCATATTAACTCAATTATGTCACGTATTCTTGTTACCACAATCAAGTAGACTACAACAATCAAGTGTGAAAATGCGACCGACATTTGTAACAGTAAATTAAGGACATGTAATCGAGTTTTAATCTGTCACTAACCTGGTTATTTGTATGAAAATACATCCATTTCACGAATATTGGCTGGAAAAGAGCCTACATATGTTTGTAATATATAGAACAGCGAAAGGACAGGATAAAATTTCGTCGGATCCTAAACTTGGATTGACCTACCCACGAAAACCACGAAAATTCTTGCCCCACGAATAATAATGATTTTACAGAATTCACTCTTGAACATTAAATCTTGAACAATAAACAAAGAAGATGCCAGACAGCCCATAACAATGTTTGTTTTGAGTACAAAATTCTTGAAATGTCCTTATAAGAAATATTTGTCACTCCCATTTAACTTTCTAAAAATACATTCTGTAGGTTCAGCCTCTTAGTGGTAAACTAATTTAAGATTTAAGGACAATTGTACTGAACAAATTGTACTGAACATGGTTTCGAATATTACATTCTAACATACAATGAACTTAACATTTACAAATAGCACAAGTTATTATAAATCATACATCTTTAACATCTTTTGTATATATTGAACAGTGCACATCGAATAAATAATCATTGCAAACACTCTAGAGGCTTATTTCATTTAACAACATCATATTTAAAGATATACTATGCTCAGATTTGATTCTTGAAAATATTGATAATTCTACATGGTCTTTCTGTAAATATAAAATAAAACTGTTTTGGCTTCACTCAAATTAAATATTGAATGCTTTAAATCCTACGCACTATATAACCTGACACAATATGAATAGTGTCATTTAACAAAATGGCGGTTTACATGACCCCTAATAAGGAAACGCAGATTCCCACAAATAGTATACATGTTCTTTACTCAATTAAGAGATATTCAATAACAATTTTACCCATTTCAATAAATTTCTCTGCAATAAAAAAATTTAATCAATAATTAGCAAAGTATGCCATTTACACTTTCAAAAAATTACATTTATTTTATTATTAATATTAGACAAATGGATTTGTGAAACTTAGAATTTTTTAAACCACAAATACGCTCCTTACTCTTCTGTTTCCCTGAAAATCAAATCATAATAAAACAATATGCAAAGAATTGGACTCAGATATGAGATTATTTTATAAGATAAATGAGGTATGACAAATGCGAATAAATCCTTACCAATGGTAGGATACTACGTCATCGTGCACCTGCAAAATGCCCCCAGTCGGACTGTTTTCTTTTTTATGTAAACAAGTCGTCGACTCAATGATAAAAACATTATGTTTTTATTCTAATCGTTAAAATATAATATTTTAGTACTTGATGTAATTGTAAAATAATCGTTTTACTGCCTGGTTTAGTCCTGCAAACGTGATAATTTTTGTATGTCCTAAATTCTTCCACTCGGACTCCAAAACAAAATTTATCCCGTTTTCAGACATGAACCAGAGAGTAAAACTTTAACCGTTTTTTACAGTTGTATCAAGTACTAAAGCCACTCTTTTGATCGCTATTTTATATTTTGATATTCTAACGATTTCTTAAAATAAAACCATATTTGGTCTTCAAATCGACGGGTTACAGTCTGATAAGGAGAATTTCGCAGGTGCACGATGACGTAATATTCTACCATTGCTTACAGAAGTCCAAACATAAGTCAATACAAATCATGCTGTAACTTATTGTAAATAGCTACAAAATAGACATTTCAATCAATTTGACTAAACAGCCATCACACTGGCGGTCATGTCAATAAATCTTTTATGGTTGAAGGAATAGTACTCTCTCTATGCTAAAATATTTTTATCACAGATTATGTCCCTTTAAATATGAATTTAATTCAGTATATTTCTAATGAAATTTAAACGCTCTTTGCACATTGACCAAGTTTGATTTTACTATAGTGCGTGTTTTAGGGTGGAAAATAAACAAATTGTCGTCTAAACCTCTTATATATGCTGCCATGGTACCAAACCCGCTTTTAGTTATGAGTAAGATATCGCATAGTGACAGTATAAACTGTTCTAAAATAGCTGTAGCAAATCCTTGGCACGATTCTGATTTTATATCTTTAAATTTCCCAAGTCTGTCAACATGAACTATTGTTCGGTTAATGTTGATATATGATTTTATATTTTTTCTAGCAAGTTGTTTTATTTCTTTCGAGTCGGTGGCAACATATATAGCGTTTTGCACTTCTTCTTCGAAATACTTTAAAAACTGAAAAAGCATAGTTTCATTAGATACTTTAAGAATTGCATCTGACGGTATACTTGGATTTCGGCCCATTCGGATGTGACTGCAGATTAATTGTTTGCCTTGCACGTGTTTATCATAGAATTCACTTGCATCGTTCAATATTTTTTCACCTGGTTTAAACAATGTGTGAAGTACTAAATGAATGGCCTTTTCATTTGTAATATTTAAAAGCCACTTTAACCTTGTTTTTGCAAGTTTGTGTTTTCTTACTTCATCTATTGCGTAGCTGTTTACTGTTAACGCCACAACTTGTTTTGGCCATGTACGGTTGAAATCTGAGCTTTGTAGTGTTTCTTTTACCTTTACTAAATTATCAGTATAGCTTAATTGAATAATATTTCTTTTAGACACGGTTTTAACAAAGTTGTAACACAAAGACCAGTCGTAAATGTTTGGAAGTAAAATATTATCCAATTTACACGGTTTGTCCATGTCGATTACAAAAACTCTATTTGTAAGTATGGCCATTAAGAATGTTGAAACTATTCCTTTCTGGCGGTCACCCCAACCTCCGCATAACATTGATGAATCACATTTGTACACTAGAAACCTTTGTTTTTTGCAGTAGGTAATGTTTGATACTTTAATATTTTGTAATACATCGTTATTCAACGTTTGTCCACCTTTAAATGTCAAGGAACCATTTTCTTTAGCAATGTGTCTAGCCCATAGAGGTGGACGATTGAATCTTTGTGTAAAATTCCCGCTTTGGTATTTTGAAGTGTTTTCTTGAAGCATGTTCTCGCTTTGGTATTTTGAAGTGTTTTCCTGTAGAAGCGTTTTGGCAATATCAAAATTTAAGAATACCAAGCACAGGAGAATTGTGAATGCAACTCCCAGTGCCTGAAAATAGTAAACATTTGTCACAGTTATTGAAATAAATATACCTTGAAAATTCCTATGTTTAATATGTTAATGCAAAGTATTATAAAATATGATAAATATGACCTGATAAAAGAAACTTGTTTCTTATTTACACTTCTTTAATGATTCTTATTAGGACACGAGCTTAATTGCATGCGACTGTTTGCTTCTAACACATATGCAATTTAAAAATATAAATGCTTTAACCTCGACCAAAAAGAAACACATTTTTATTCCATTAACGCTCTATAATATTGATTACTCATCATAAACCTAATCAAATTACAAATTAAAATTTTACATGCATTAATGCACGTCACATCCGTATTAATTTTATGATATGAAGTCAATTCGAACGTCTTTCATACATAAGGAAATAAGAATTCATATAGGAAGAATCCCTTACGGCTAAATTTAAAATGTTACAGGATCGGTATGATTGAGCCTATTTAAGTGTTCATAGACGATACTCATAGACGATACTGTCAAGTACAAACCGTCCACGCCCCCTTGCACCGGCTAAAGCAGAATTTAAGTTAAACATAAAACAGTGGCATTTTGAATTTAGAAACATTTGCAGATATGTTCATAAGGCGGTTATCATGGAACCTTCAATGTGACACAAGGTGCCATTCCATTAAAAGCGGCTTATAAAACGCGTATGCCCTAAACGAGAAAACAATGGGTGGAAAGAAACAAAATGGAACTTTGAAAGGAGATCTGAGGTTATGAAGCCTGCATATCACAGAAGGAACGTCAACAGACAATTTTAATAAGCAGGCAACATCTCCTAAAGTGATCCAACATTATTCAAGTTGGAATAATGAAACTTTTTAACTCGAAAAGGCCAAAATAGTATAGAAACATTCCACAAACACAACAACAATGTCGTGCTTAGCGATCTTTATGTCTTAAACTACAAATCTAAAAATGCTGCATTGTGTCTGTATATGGCCATTGCTGTAAAGTGCAACTTACCGTCTGCTTTTATAAGTTTAATAATATTTTATTGCATCTATATAATACATGTAAGATATGATTAACACAAATACAAATCTACATATATGTATAGTGCAAATGGGTTGGGCTACAAGTTATTACATCATTAGAAACAGCCCTTCCACTTTTATTCAAATGAAAACTTAGTTTTAGTATTTCTATAGGAAGACATAAGCCGCCTATACATGTTTTAATCGAAACAAACTTATCACGTTGGTATACATAAATCAATATATTAGCTACATACATGTTTATAATGTACACAGTTTTTAAAGAAATAATATTAATATGAACATATTTAAAGCTACACGCCTCCAGATGAGCAAAATGAATATTGAGAAAAATATACTAAATTTTTTAGAAAGGTAAAACATTCAAAATCCAAGTTATATTTTACATGTTATGTGCGGTTTAAGAGTGATTTTTCAGTATTTTATTACCATATTTTTTCTGCGTTTCTAACGCAGTAAGGGCTATTTTTGCAAATTTTGACGACTTTTTGATAATTCTCCTGGATTGTAAGTGCCGATTGCATTATGTAAGTTACTTCATTTGTTCACCTCACAATATTTTACTTTTAAATACATTTCCAAAATTTTCATGAAAAACATTAATCTGGAGGCGTGCTGCTTTAACCTGGAAATCACACGGGTACCACCTAGATGATTTTCGGATGTTTACATTATATCAAACTACCGACCTAGTGCTTCAAAATCGATACATATTAACAAAATAAAGAATGTTTAATGTACACTTGAAATAAGATCGTAAATTTTCAAGCGTTTCATTTAGACAGTTATTTAGTTTTGTTGTCAATGTTGTGGTCATTGATAAAAATGTTGGAGGCTTTTATGCTCCCCAAAAGGAAAGCATATAGTCGCCGCCTTGTTCGTCTGTCCATACGTAGTGAATGTCCGGAGCATAACTTAAAATCCATTGGAGCTAATCTGCTTAAACTTCACAAAGTGGTAGAGGGCATTGAGGCGGAGTGCAGTGTCAAAAGAACTTTAACTCTGTTTTGCCCCGTTTTGAATTATCTCCCCATTTAGAAAAATCTTATCCGGGACATATCTCTAAAACTTTAAGAGACATCAAAATAAATCTTTGTTTGTAGATTCAATAGGTAGATGTGATTTTACACTTTGAACTATGTCTTGGACATAACTTAGAAAATAGAAGAGATATTAACATAAAACTTTGTAGGTAGATATATCTCAATAAATAGAAGTTCAGTGCAAAAGAACCGAAACTCTGCCTTTCTTATTTATGAAGTCATTGCCATTTGTTTATTTTTACACTTTGAATTTTGTCCGGGACATAACGCGGAAACCACAAGATATATTAACAAGAAACTTGGTAAGAAGATAGATCTCAATAAGTAAAACTGCAATGCAAAGAACCGTCGCTCTGCCTAGCTTAGTTTTGTAGTTATTGCCCTTTGTTTATTATTACACTTTGAACATTTTCTAGGACATAACTCTGAAAGTATAATAGACATAAGCAAGACATCGAGTAGGTAAATAGATCTCTTTGGGTAGATGTGCAGTGTAAAAGAACCATAACTCTGCCTTGCCTGATTTTGGATTTATTGCCCTTTGTTCCTTTTTACACTTTGAACTATGTCCGTGACATAACTCTTTACTATTAGAGTTATGAACGAAGAAACTTTATAGGTAGATAGATTTCATTTAACAGAAGTGCAGTGCAAACGAACAGTAACTCTGCGCTTTTTAACTCTGCGTTCATTTTTACACATGACATAACTCTAAGACAATATAAGATATGAACAATAAAACTTTGCGTTCATTTTTACACGTGCCATAACTCTGAAACAATATGAGATATGAACTAGAAACTTGGTAGGTAGATAGATATCATTGGGTAAAAGTACAGTACAAAAGAACCATTGGGTTGCCCTTTGTTCCTTTTCTCACTTTGAACTACGTCTAGGACATAACTTTGAAGCTTTAAGAGATATTAACATGAAACTTTGTAGATAGGCCTCAATAAACAGAGGTGTAGTGCAAAGGAACCAAACTCTGCCTTGCCTTTTTTTGGAGTTATTGTCCTTTCAATTCACACTGTATACATTGTCCGGGACATTACTGTCAAACAACAAGAGGTATGAACATGAAACTAAGTCGGTAAATAGATTTCATTGATTAGAAATCTAGTGCAAATAACAGTAACCCTGCCTTGCCAAATTTTGAAATTATTACACTTTGACATTGTTCAGGGAAATAACTCTTGAACTACAAGAGGTGTACTTTTTGTATCCAAAAACTTTTTGGGGAGCATCACCCTGTTCAAACCGGGCTCTTGTTTCCTATTTTTTTTATTTTTAGAGCTGTTGTTAGTATTAGTTGGATGTGCTCTTTTTTTGTTCTGTTTGGGTTTTTTAACTGCAGAGCAACGCTGACTTCGCCCATTGTTTTCTCGTTTAGGACACACATTCTTTTATTTGGTGACCATTTGCCGCTTTTCGTGAACGGCACTAACGTGTCTCATTTAAGATTTCATGAATATTGTCGTAGAGCACATCTGTGGATGTTTCAAAAAACTAAATTCGAAATATCACCATTACCATATTTAAATGTTGAATTCTGCTTTAGCCCCGGTGTAAGGGATTGTGGACAGAAGATTGCACTTTCCAGTTCTGTTCATGAACAGTCTCATTCAAACCGAGTCTATTCATTAAGATTTTGTCCATTTTTGGACTTTCTTTTAGATTTTTTTATATATTCTATTTGTTTGAGGAAATCTGTAATCTCAGAATCTGATTGGCCATTGAAGAATTTGTAAAACAACATAAAAGATTTTTCTGACATGGTGTACGCGTCTAATATTTAATTGATCTAAAGGAGTCTGTAAACGAACTAACTATATTCATAAGTTATTTTACTAGCAAGTTAGATTTCAGATACTTCTGTTTATCCACGCCTTCCCCTGCATATTTTAAGTTCTATATCGCCATGTATCCTCCTACAGATAATTTTCCGCTGCTTTAACAAGTAATAAATTTTGTCAAACATTAAGAAAACCACCACTTACAAGTACATCCACGATCGTATTTACAGTAAAAGAAGCGAACAGCGCAAAAGAAAACGAACTTATCCGGTATTATCAGTGAAATACAAAGTCTATAATTTTCATGTATTTTACATTTTTACATATCTATGAAGTATTATTATAAGTTATAATTCATTACCTCTAACGATTGAATTGTTTTGTTATTATAAATGTTTGTCAAACTATTTTAGTGAGAAAGCTTTTCTTTGAGCTACAACGACATTCGCTATAATAGAAAAAAAATACATTACGGTCAGAATAAAGTGAGTACGAAATAAATTGTTTTGTTTGTACTTCTTATTTACTGCTTTTTTACTTTGAAAGAATCTACTTCAGACTTTACATTTCGTTTCTATTTAAAATACTTTGTATGTGCCAACATATGTATATGATTTTATATTCAAAAAATGTAAACATAAAATTTAATAATAGGCTCGATATCACAATCCTTATGAATCTATGTCCCATGTTTCCTAAGATACGATAAGCAAATTAACCAGTTATATTGCGACCGAGTATCTTTTTTAAAGGTACTTCTTGTTACTTTTAATTTTTACAAAGATTAACCAGTCTGCCACAGACCCCACTGTTTGTCAATAATTTCATGCAATTTATCAATTATATCATGTGGCAAAGATCAAATACTACACCATAAAAAAACATTATCTGAATAATTGATTTTTACTCGCAAGGCGCTTAAGTAACGGTTTAAACGCACAAAAAATCATATCTGTACGGTTTAGATCCATAAATATATTTAAACAATCTGTTTTTTTACAGCTGCATTTAAGATTTGAAAAATATTTGTTTTAGAGTATTCATTTTTCTATTTGTTTAGACAGATTTTTGAAACAAATTCAGCCAACGTCAAGAATGAGTTGAATGAGTCTAGACACAACAAATTGCAACGA